ATGCTCTTCCACTTTGAACGGTTGATTTAATATAGTTTTTTCCCCCTACTTTAATTAGGTCATCTGTCCATCGTGTGGGTTACCGGTACTTACCAGTACATGCTTCTTTTACCAGTTCTTAGACGCCATTTATGAACTTTTCTACCCCACGTTCTATCTATATCACCCATAGGTATATGACCTGCTTAATTTTTTTATATTTCAGTATTCTCAAGTTCCTCACTCACTCTAAAGCTCTTATTATGACTTAAAATTGTGAATGATAAGCTTCATAAGCGTCCAAGTTTCAATCCCAAATACCATGATGGAAAGAAGACATTGTTCAAACAAAACCCTCGAGGTTCATGGATATTTTCTGTCTTTGAGTACTTCAGACGGTTTCCTGAAAGCGCCCCAAACGGTACACTAAGCTTTATTTAAAGTGTACCATCTATAATGTGGAAAAAAAGAATGAGCATACTGTTGTACAACACTTCATTTCCGTTAGTCATTCAATGGCGAGTCACACTTCTCTTCGCAGTGACACCATTGTGTTATAAATACGGGGACATTTCAAACTTATCTACAGCGAAACATGGCCAGCAGTGCTGTTACTATAGCGATATTCTACCGACAGAATATGTTCTTATATATATATAAGATGTATATAAGATGTTCTTATATATATATCGATACTATCGATATCGATACTATCGACTATCGACGATACTATCGATACTATCGACCTGAAACAATACTATTGCTTAATAACAACAATACTATTGCTTAATAGTATTGTTTCAGGTCGATAGTATCGATAGTTTTTGTTATATATAAAGTAATATTCTTGTGTAATTGTATTTGTAAATGATACGACCGCTTGTCTTTAGCACACTGACATTTAATGATTTTATTTTATAATCTATTTTATTACATACAAATATATAGTATTCCAAAAAGTATAGTTATATAAAATCAAAGAGTATAATAAACCTGGTATCAAAAGCTATTTACATATTAGAGCACAGTTAGTCGTGAACAGTATTGTTCTATCAAATATTTATTTTAAAGAAAAATAATTTCAAAAATCGACACGAAAAGGGCGCCCGACATTGGATTCAAACCTAATTATTTTACAATCCGGGTGACTGCTCTAAACAAACAAGCTGACCGAGTCTTAGTGAGGTTGCAGAATTCATCCCAACTACAAGAGTATATTTATTTTTTAATACTATCATATACCAATGTACATCAATGTTTCGGACACCACATCGACTACACTCCACGGTTGGCTTTTGAAAAATTGTATCATCAGCCTTTTTATGTCCCCACTGCAGGGGCTCAGGCCTTCCTTATGGATGGTTAAGGAGGATGGGCCATGACCCTCCACGCTGGCCCAATGCGGATTGGGGAGAAAATTGTATATGTTTGTGTGATTTTTCTTTCAATATAATGTATGTACATCCTCTATTATATTATTAATGATTACTATTATTGATAGTATATATTTTTTTACATGAAATAATAATTATCATCACAGCATATTAATTCACTTTTATTCGGTACCTATTCATTTTAGTTTTATCGAATGTTATCAATCATTGTTCAGGTGAAGTGAAGTGTCCTTGGCGATCAGTTCTTTGGTACCATTTTCACATTACAGATAAAATTTAACTCAAGATAATCCAAGTATAATCAAATCGCCTAGAATCCTTATTAAAATTTTTAAAGCCAAAAAAACATTACGGATGTTGGAGAATTTTTTGACGTGGATACGTCTATGTTTTCGTTCTACAGGGGGGTCATTCTGTGAGCAGGAGCTTATGCACTAACGCCATCTATTGGCGTATAAGTGAACTATGCTTGCTCTGCAGGGGGAGGGGCATTCTGTCAGCAGGAGTATATGCACTAACGCCATCTGTTGGCGCTAGTGAATACTTTTTTCATTCAACAAATGAACGCAACGAATATTTATTTATTTAGTGTTTAGTGTCTTCAATTTGTTTATTTATTTTTTTATCAATTACTCATATATCCATTCATAAATAGACGTATCCACGCATAAAATATGGCTGTATCAATGATACAGCCAACCAGGGTTTTTTAAATTAAATAAAATACCTGACAATATCCACATAAAATCACCGCTGTCTTTTATATTATTAGAATACCTATGTGTCAGCAATTTTTTACATTGATGCCTCGAAGCATCGACAGTCGGTGGTGAAACGGAATACGTATATCCAATTTCCGTCAATCGCTTTCTTTCCCGGTTATACCCATAGAGTATTTTTATATTGAGAATGATACTTATTTCATTTCCTAGAATGTTATCCAGGAAGAATATGTTACAGTATGTAAAGGTTACTTTTGGTAAAATACTATTGCCAGTTCATATGAAGTAAGTGTTTTCCGCCATCTTTAAATTGAAATGTCACAAAGAAGTTTGAATAGAGAATGTAAGTAAAAGTATAAATATTATGGATATGTCCGAAATAAATGGATTTTATATTTCGACGTCCCACCACGACATAAGCTTCTTAACAGCTACACTACTATTTGTTTGAACGTTATGTGTGCAACAATCTTTTGTGTCCTTTCATACTTCCACGACACGCGGTCTCAGTTCGACCTACATTGCAATGTGGGTTGCTATTTTCTTTTAAAAACCTATATTGTTTAGGTTTTACGTTGTTTTATCTCTCTTATTTATGAGTTATAGCTTTATTTGTAAATAAAAATCTGTTACAATATGTCCAGTTTCTTGTTTCATAAGGTAAATGTAACTGTAGCAGTAATATGATCATATAAATTATTCACAAAATAAATTTAAAAAAAAAACAAAATAGTTTTGTTTATTACTTATCTTAAGCAATCAAAGCAGAGAATTCTGACGTTTTTGTAATATTTTCCTACCAAATAAACACACAGCTTTATTATTATTAATATACATTTTAATATTCATCTAATTGTCTTTCTCTATGTAGCGGCACCCGCGTCAGATCAAATATTTTGTCTTTTTATAAAAAAAATCCATTTGGCCCACTCCTTCCATCTTGCCCTCCCTTCGTTTGTTTGTTTGCACCCTTAGGGGGTACTCTACGCATAGACTGACACAATCATGAAAATTCTTTCACCTAAGAGAAGCTACATCATACATCTTCAGCCCTTTTACGTCCCCACTGCAGGGCAAAGGTCTTCCTTATGGATTGTTTAATAAGATGGACCACGACCCTCCACGCTGGTCTAATGCCGATCGGAGGGTTTTAACGACTGCGAATACTTACGACGGCTTAACGTGCCTTCCGAAGCTGAGATAATAATTTTTTGATCACCCATCCCGTGACTGACCCTTGCGAAAGTTGCTTAACAACAACGAACGAGATGATGCTATTATTACGCATAGTTAAGGCTCTGTTTCATTAAAAATACTTTCTACTTCATTAAAATTTTGTTAAGATTGATGAGATGCCTGACGAAGTTCGGACATGTTCATTGAACTAGAAAATAGCCTTAGATTTTGTGCTACACGTTTTAGTTTCAGAATTAGATCGATCAATAATGGATTCAGTTAAAAAAATATGCTTATATTATAAACAAATCACACTATACAAATCCAGGAGTTCATAAACGATAAAAATAAATAACTAAATCCCTTAAATAATTTATTGATATACATTAATTTCAAAATGTAACATTTCAGTCCTTCACAGCAATATATAACTTTTATTTTAGGTATTTTAAATAAGAATCAATATTAAGCGTTTTATTGATACTCATTTTAAACAAGTTATTGACATAATATATTATTGTTATTTCTTATTTTCTGACATTTACTACTTTTTTGACATATAAATTATATTATTATAATAATAATTGTACTAAATATTAATCTCATTTTTACATAACTCAGTTTTTAATAATATAAAAATACACAATATCAATAAAAGTTATTTATTAATTGACGTAACTATTGTAATTTATTAATTTCAATATTTGCATTAATTACCTAACCTCAAACTGAGTGATCTATTTGTCTGCCTGTAGTTCCAAATTGTCTTGCCCTACAGGGTCATATGGTCACATGTTTATACTTATGCCATCTGTTCTATGTTACATATGATGATAATTAATGATTGAGTATTGATGTTAATCGATATTTCAATATTTATCCAAACGTTTAAATTAACATTTTAACTGATAGAATATTTGGTTCTTTTTTTAAATAAAATTTTATAGGAGTTCGAATTGAAAGATTGAGTTCGGAAAACAATAACTTTAATAAAGTTCCAATACAGTTACAATTAAATATTTATGAGATAATTTTATAATAAATAATTAATAATTATTTGTGCGGAAGGGAGCCGGCCGTATACTTTCTATGGCGTCGTTGCGTGAACTGGTAGCTATCCTATAGTGCTGCCCACGTTAACGCTAGGGATGTTCGCACTACAATTTTATTTTTTAAATACATCTATACAAGCAGCGAGGAGCTGCATGGCGCAGTGGCTAGCGCGCTCGGTCTGCAATATGGTCATAGAATGGGTGGATAAATATGTATTATCTCGAACTCCCCCGTGCTTCGGAAATTTAGTTAAGCCGTTGGTACCGCCTTTAGTTGCAATCGTTAATCCTCACAAGGCCAGCGTGGTTGGTCATGGCCTTATCTCCTTATTCGATTCGATTTCAATCATATGGAAGGCCTGAGTCCCAGATAGACTGGTGATAATCAAGTATCACTTTTCAACAGTAAACGAGTTTTTTTATTCTCGTTCTCTGAATTCCTCACTGTAACATAATGTTATTACTCTCATCGTCTGTATTATTTTCACCCTTACAACAAACCGACAAATTTCAATTATATTAATATTTAATCAAATAATTTGCAAATTATCAGATGACGTTTTATAACTCTGACTTACAGCCTTATGTTAAATATTTAACTTAATTTTTATTTGCGATAAAATCTAATTTAAGTATTTTCATTTGTTTCATGTGCTGCTTTCATGGGACTTCTGCAGAGCGCAGCTTGAGTAAGTATATGTAGCAAGCAGAGTGTAATCTTTAAATAGATGTCAAGGTTTAATTCAGACAAAGAATATTTTGTCAGTCAGACCAAAATGTTGCTCTGACAGGTAGTTCACTGTCATTCGTCTAAAATTCACCGGCATTTACCGATAAAAGCTCATATATTAAAGAGTATCTTTTATCTCTTATATAAAAATAAAAAAACAGCGGAGGAATATTGATAAATTTAGTTATATTGCAGATAAGATCGCATTCTATACCTTAAAATGCATGTCATCTGGCGAGTCAGTAAATTCGGTGACGTGAATAATGAAAAAAAAGAACCTGGATAGTTTATAAATCTATATCATTTCAGACACCAAGTCAATCCGCAACATTGTAATGTGTAAATTTCATTTCACGCCTGACCATTATTTATAAATAAATAAAATAAAATAAGCCTATAATCAGACTAACTTACCTACTAAAATATTTGATCCCGTTCTGAATGCTCTTTGGCAAAGGCCTCCCCTATAGATGTCCAAAGTTGTTTGTACATGACCTTCCTATTCCATGTTGCTACTTATCGATAAATTACAAAAAAACAGAAGATACAATACACTTATCATAAATTGCTTGCCCTTTTCCCGATTATTTATTTCGATGTCGGCGCAACATGTATTCTTCTTCCATACGTCACGATCAACCTCATCTCATCATTCACTCCTTTCTTGCGCATATTATTTTTCACACAGTTTCCATTTATCTTACCTTTAGTATTCCTCTACTTACACTTCCTTCCACATTCACGCTCATAACCCTTTTTATTTCATGCAAAACATCTCTTCTCATCACCATGTCCACCAAGAAATCTGTTGCTTCTTAAATTTTCTGTCACTGGTGCTACTTTCGAACTTCCTCTGATGTACTCATTCTTCACCCTGTAAAGTCTTTACAATGTCGTGCTTTATAATTATATAGGTGCAATTCCTATTGAAACTCAAATAACTGTGCTTGGAGCAACGAGGAGTAAAGAAATTTCAAACTATGTATGTCATGTTGTAGGTGAATCGTTAAAATGGGCTAGTCAATATTTAGCCATATATCCTGCACCACTCAAAGCTTAACGTTTATTTTTGGGCAAAAGCGTCCGTCGCTAAGCGGTTCGCGCGCCGTTTTGAAAGGGTCGCCAACTTTAATGTTCCGAGTTCGATTCCCGGTGGCTACAATGTAGAAAGTTGACTTTTCTATATTGTCTCTGGTATGGCTATTGTGTTACATTCATTGTCTTAGAATCGATATTAAGAAGGCTGAAAATTGACTAGTGATCTTAAAATCTGGGTAGTATATGTGATATTTTCATAAATAATAGATGACTTGATTAATAAAATTTACTTACTTGTGTGCAAGGGAAGCAATCCCGGGTATGCTAATCTTAACCTAGACTTTTCTATTCCATCCACCAACTATTAACTTAAATAAATAATTATCAAGAAATGCAATTTGACAAACATTATTTATGTTTGCATTGTTTTATCAAATAATATTATTATATAAAAAAATAGTATCTCAAACTATATCTTCATTTAATGAAAAAAAAAAACTTTACAAATGACTTTTGTGATTCGTTTTTTGTCAAATAACAGTACACCGTTTTAGATTTTAAGGCCATTTTAGATTGTTAGGTGTTAGCCATCTTCAATATCGAACGAGAACCGGGCCACCAACTTCGCATTATGAAACTACAAGGATACGATTTTCACCATGCATATCATTATATGGTTAAGTAACTGGATAAACAAATACATCTTTTATTGGTTTGTGTAGGTTTAAATTACATCATAAACTAAACAGCCAAATCACCAAATAGTATCTGTGAATCGGAAGTTCTTGATGTGTCTTTTTTAACAATTAACCCGCGACATGAATATTTATAAAATTTATTCACAATAAAATTAAAATGACATTTTTGTTTCAGAAAATATGTTACTGATTGATGTTCTAATATTTTTTTGCATAATTATAAATACTTTGAATATTAATAATTTAATTAATTAGAGTAAATTCAACAACCTCTTTATTGTGCAATCGCTTATATAAAATCAAATTTCTTCAATTAATTAATGAAATTAAAATATCTTTATTCAAGTAGGCTAATAACAAGCACTTTTGAATCGTCCAAAAAAAATTTTTGCCCCATACCACTTGTTCAGGACGTCTACTATTACTTATTGCGTTGTAAAAAGTAAATTTAAATACAAGAATCAAAATAGTTTAGAGTACCAATATGTTTTTTAACATTATAACATACAATTAATTACATCGTAAGTACTAAGATAGTCTAAAATATGCAGAGCTAGTTATATAGTGTTCTTTGAAGAAACAAACCCATCTAACTTTATATAAACTAGGTCCTTTATTGGTAGAGCCGCACTTGGCTTGAAAAGGATCATTTTGGCCAAAACTTAGTCGACATGTAAACATCAAGACAGATTTACTTTAATAGGGTGGTTTGTAAGCAACAAAGCTTTGTTTGTTTAGTGAGATGTGATAAACTTTGACGTATAACGTATGGCGCCTTAAAAATATTTACGTATAAAAAATCTTAGTGCGAGTCGGACAAGCGATCGGGTTCTGTTGTGAAATTTCATTAACAACCATATCGAAAATCTATCTAACCGATGCGCCATCGGTGATTTCCTTATAGCACGGGATCTCATAGCTAAGTAAAAAATATTTGTTCTTAAAAACCACAATAGATCCAGAATATGTTATAACCAGTATAATTTCTTAAAGGGAAAAAATCAGAAGCACGGAAAAATTAAATAAAGGGTTATTTAGTCTAGTTTTTTTGTAAAATTACAAGCAGTCACAATTTTAGAGCAAAAGTGTGCTTTAAATAAATTAAATGTCTATGTAGAGATGGCGTTTTAAATTGCTACATTTTTTATTATTATTTTATTTAAAATATTTTTTCGTGGTGTTTAACTTTTATTGATTGACAATTTAAAACAAAAATAAAAGACTATAAATTTACATTTAATAGTAGACACAAGAAACTGTTATTTGTAAAGTAAATTCGTCGACATTTTGAATCTATATCTGTGTCATCAATCATCGTAGTAGATTGGATACCTGCCTACCTGGTAAAGAGGTATTTTTAGGGAAACGATTTCAAAATAAATCACCAACTACACGAGATTTGACAAGAATAACGAATTTTTCAATTACTTGTTACCTTCGCTGCAACGTTCTACGTGATACGAATCAACGCCATCTATTGACGTTTATGCGAAAATCCATAGAATAGCCCAAGTCGAATAAGGATTTTTTTTTAAAAAAAACGTTAGTTCCTGAAGTCAAACTCGATGTCGGTACTTTCTTGATTTCTCCATGACAACCTTTCCTGTTTTCTTTCATGTATAAAAGTAAATTAATTTTCAAAACTCATAAACAACTCATATTCTATTTATACTTTTTCGTATTTATATTGATATCTAAGTTTCGAACTTTGCAAATTTAATTTTTGTAATGTCTCAGTTAAAAGGAACGGAAATTACTTTCTTTAGTAGTCTATTCGTTTCCTGAAAAAATCAACTTTTAGTAGAGTCGCCATCTAGTGAGGTGCTTTTTAGTACTTTCTTTTTTTCTTAAAATACTTCCGCATTCTAAGTGTTGTTTACTCACTTGCTGCATCTAGCGCCGACAAAATAGCCCGAGTTAGGACGGTCACATTTTGTTTTATGGAAGCATCTGTATAGTTTATATGTACTTGTGCTAATAAATACTATTATTATTTTCTCAGAACTACCTCAACCAGCTCCCCGCAAGCCAAGTCACCTGCCGGCAGCAGCGCCGGCGCAGCTGCCAGCGCATCAACCGCTGCCGGAGAACGTACCCCCACTGCACAAAACAAGCAGCTACAAAATGTTAAGGGGCAGGAGCATCCGCCGCATCCTTCCGTGAGTACACATAAGTACTAATTTCGAATGTCAATTTTCTAGCCAAGACATTTAAACGTTTTAGTATAATGGTGCTTATATGCGAGTAACAATTTACTTATACACTTTAAAAGAGTAAGGTCCAGTATAACAATTTTGTGCGTACTAGCACATTGCGTCATTGATTACATACTTCTATTATTTTCACTGTGTATAAGAATCATAAGTATTTTCTTTATAACGTTATAGATTTTTCACGGTCTAGAAGATACATCTGACGGTTAATTTTCTCAAGCATTTTAAGGAAATTTTAAGATAAATTATTTATGCTCGAATAAGAATTCGGCAAGATTTTTTTCAGAAGCCTTTGAAATAAAATATTTATGAATAAAATTTACGGCTCAATAGCTCATAGACTTTGAACAGAGATTACGACCAATTTTAGTAGTGATTTTAATTTATAAAAAAAAAATTATTGCTTTAGAAAAAACCTCTTTCCAAGAATTGTATAACATAAAAGAAGATATAAAAAGGCGAATTCAAAAAAGTTTTCTTTCTAATAAAAGGTCTAATAAAACTGACAAAATGATTTCCATTTTGTTGCTCAATGTCACAAAATCGATCAGTAAATTGGTCACGAAAAGTGGGCCACGCGTTGACAAGTGAAATTATTTATAATCCATTAGGGAAATAGAAATTTCTGGTAAAATTGTACAGTAAGTATATAATAGGTAACATTAAGATTATATATCGATGTTTTTAGATATTGATTGCGCGTTAAGAATATAAAATTTAGACGTACTTTGGTTGTATTGAATGAACAATTGGATTCGTTGTGTCGTTTAAAGTGGTTTCTATAATGTTGTGTAATTCGAATTCAGTTTGATCATCTGTTATTAAACCTAGTATCTTCTTCTTAGTCTGTGGTTATGAAAACTTCAACACCACACTGACTAAAACAGACTTGAATTTGATTGCAAGCACAGGGTTGTCACAGTGTAGAGTTTCAATGAAATATAAACTTATTAGTAGGTTAAAGTAGGTTTCATTGGACTGAACCTCTTTGCTATTACAGAGCTGCGTTTGATGTCCTGCTTAAGGCTGTTTATATGAAATGTGTACCAGATACATATTCAATGAGGAAGTATTAAAAAAAATCACTAAAAAAGCTCCTCCACTAGATGGTGACTCTAGCAAAAGTAAATTTTTGCAGGTAACGAATGGACTAAAGATAGTGATTTCCGTTCCCTTGAAAAAGACTTAAACTTAGATATCAATACAAATACGAAAAATTACAAATAGTGTATGAGTTGTTTATTGAGTTTTGAAAAATAATTTACTTTTATTCATGAAAGAAGGGTTGTGTTGGCTAAATCAAGAAAGTACCGTAGCGACATCTAATTTGATTTCGGGAACTAATGTTTTTTTTTAATATTTCCTCATTGCATCGCTCATAACTTTCGTTTGGAACTGAAGACATTTTAGTTTTTACATGACGCAACTGGATATAATAAAATGTATCCTCGACTCAAAAATTGAGTACACTAGAAAAAAGGACAAATTAAAAAATAACAGATGATCAAATAATTTGTTTATTACTTCTCAATATTTTTGATGTTAGGCATTAATTTGTTGTTGTTTTTGGGACAATGTGGGAATTTAAATATTTAATAGTACGTGATATATAATTTATAAATAATATTTATAAAAAATAATATAATGAAATTAATAGACTCTATATTATTCCGGCATTGTCCTAGTATATAGTTAAGTATATGTGGATCGTGATAAGATGGTACTTTTCTTATACGTCTAATATGTAGTTAATATTTTGTGTTTCTTTCTCTATTATATGAAAAAAGGACAGTTCTAACATCAATAAAAATACTTTAAAAAAGAAATAATGCTACGTCAAAACTCATTTAAACGACAATAACCGACAATACTTAATATCAAACATGTTTTATAAATAATAAGGTTAGAAATTACTAAGGTTAGTAATTTCCGGATCGGATCGGCACCTATCCCAAACGTTCGAATACTTGACAATTTTTGCGACAATAGAAAATGTTTTTGCTATATAATAAATGTATATCAATTAAAATTCATCGAAGAAGTATTATGAAAAGTAACACTATAATAAACGTCATGACGATCAGAACTTAAATGGCGACGACGACATTCTTAGGGCGTTTGTGCATTACACTGAATTATCAGGTCGGAACGGTTCGATTTTCGGTCCGGAATGACATGAAAACCCGGATGAGTAGCTTGTGCACTTGTCCGTTTTTTCCGGATCGGATCGGCAGGTTTAGGGAACGGTTTAAGTACACGTCACTTACGTTAGGTACGATGAGATTTTTGGAACGTCGGTAATTGCTTGCTTTACTACTCTACGTGAGAAGACGTAGAAGACAGAAAAAATATTGGGTTCATCCCCTAATAAGTGATAGGTACCTAAATAATGATCTGACAGGTTCATTTAACATAAACCATAATGTACTGAGGCAGGACGAAAGCATTTTTTTACTACTATCAGATGTAAAAACTTAGACCATTACTAATTTAGGAACAGCATTATTTATATACAATAGCTAAAAATATCTGTGACATTTGAATAAAATTACTGATAATGTTCTAGTACTTGATGTTTAAATAAATAATCGTGCAATTTTTCTTCGAAGTTTTGTAAAAACAACTTTAAGCGATTACAGACATAGACCAATCGTTGACGCCATTTCGTAAACAAATCAAAATTAGTGCCGTGTAAGCAGAGAATTAATATGCTTAATGAACTTGACAGTGGCATTTAAATCAGCCTATTCTATTGTAATAACTATAATCATTGTAAGATCAGTTGGCTGTATTATGTATATAAATACTTTTGGCCGCTATTTTATACACGTGGTATAGTTTCTTTGAGCAGAATTCTTTTTCTTTTAGAATTCTTCTGTTATCAAATATTAATTCATACTATTCAATTGCCTAAAAACAAATTTTGGTATTGACAAATTTCAATGCAAACTTTCATCCCCTATTTCCATCTCTTTTTTTGCGATAAAAGGTAGCCTATGTCCTTTCTCAAGGTTAAGTATATTTTTGTATCAAATTTTATTTACATAGGTTCAGTTGTTTAGGCATGGAAGCGTACCAGCAATTAAGATATCGATACTTTTGATTTAAAATTGTTTTGGGATCGATACTTTTAATATGATCGAGTTTGCCAAGGCATATGCAGTAATATTTACCAACTATATTACTGCATATGCCTTGGCAACTCGATCATATTAAAAGTAGCTCATATTAAATAGCTCAGTGGCGTAGTGGCTTAGCGCCGCAGCCCGCGATTGTTGTCGTTAAGCAACTTTCGCAAGGGTCGGTCACGGGATAGGTGCCCAAAAAATTATCATCTCGAGCTACTCCGGGCTTCGGAAGGCACGTTAAGCCATTGGTCCCAGCTGCCTTTGCCGTCGTTAATACCCTCCAATCTGCATTGGGCCGGTGTGGAGGGTCATGGCATATCCTCATTAACCATCCATAAGGAAGGGATGAGCCCCTGCAGTGGGGACGTAAAAGGCTGATGATGATGATGTTATATTAAATCATCATACAAAATATTCAATTGTATACTCTACAATAAATATCGAAAATCAATATATCGGAAATTACCAATATCGCCTAATTAAATATAGATTTTTTATAAATCGATTATTTTTCCCAAGCCTACTCCGCTTTCTCATGAATTTTTCGGATCGCGGACACAGCAGTGCACAAGCGCTAATACGACATATCGAACCGGAAAAATCGGACTGCCGGTCCTAAAGATTTATTGTAGTGCACAAACCCCTTTAACCTTACAAATAAAAAGATATTCGCTGGGTGCGATGTAGGAGGGAGAAATACGAAACGATCCCAGCGTTATCTAAAATTTACTAATTATTGCATAAATGAAAAATATCGACACAATAGATTTACTGGACCGAATAGAATCTGAGTAAATTACGATGTTTTATTAAAATCTTTGTTTGTTTACAATAATCTTCAAACTGACCACCCTCCATTTGATATTTCAAAGTCCGACATCAGTGTAACCGCTAGTTGGCGCCATCAATGCGCACCCAGCGAATAGGTAGGTACCTACAGTTGTTTAGTTACACATAGCTCTGTTTATGTCGCCCAGTGTAACTTTTAGTTTGAGCGAAAAGATAAAACACGGTATAATCACTATATTTTTCTAATAAAAAAAAAATAAAACTATTTCGTTTCACGCTGTCAATCCCACTATGTTATAACGTGGGGCTCATCACTTTGTATTTCCGCTTGACCGGTCACCTTTCATACGCGAACTCGTAAATTCTAACGCAAAAGGTAAATGGGATAAGTTATATTGCCGAATCCAGTTTTCTGTGAGTTTATCTCTATTAAGACTTCGGTGGAGTATTTACCGAGCATTACCGAACAAAGACGTATTTATTACCAAAAACCGTATAACTTTAGTCGCAGATGGTCCTAAGACGCAGAGAAGAATAAAGTATGTACAAATAAGTAAATATGAGATCACAGGTTACGGTAACACCTCAGACATGAATTTGAATAGACTGGAAGCTCGTGACAAAAATTTGCAAGGGTTTTGTTAATACTTGAGCATCCACCGTGGACATCAGGTACTGGAACACCTGGTGACATCACAATGGGATAGATGGGGACAGATTTTATGACAGTGCAAGAAAATTCAATTTGAATAGATAATATAAACTGTTGTTTTATTGGTTTTGAATATATTTCTGTTTCTTTACGAAAGTCATTCGCATGTACTGTTAACAGCACGTCAGTCTATACAAGTCCGTCAAATTTCTCCACTTGATTTTAAACCTTAATATTTTGTGGGTAGAGTGTAAAATCAACTGGAGAAATTTGACATAATGTCGTAGCTGTGCACATATTGGTTTTGAATTATTAGGTATTAATATGATTGAATTGATATATAGTATAAAACTTCATAATATTGTGTCATCAGTACA